TAACACACACACACACTCTCTCACATACACACACACACACTCTCACACACACATATAACACACACACACACTCTCTCACACACACATATAACACACACACACACCCTCTCTCACACACACATACACACACACATATAACACACACACACACACACACTCTCACTCTCTCACACAGTCTCACACAGACACACACACATATAACACACACACACACTCTCACACAGACTCACACACATATAACACACACTCACCCTCTCTCACACACTCTCTCTCACACACATACACACATATAACACACACTCTCACACACACATATAATACACACACACACCCTCTCACACACACATATAACACACACACACACTCTCTCACATACACACACACACACTCTCTCACACACACACACACACACACACACACTCTCACACAGACTCATACACATATAACACACACACACACTCTCTCACATACACACACACACACTCTCTCACACACACACACACACACACACACACTCTCACACAGACTCATACACATATAACACACACACACACTCTCTCACATACACACACACACACTCTCTCACACACACACACACACACACACACACTCTCACACAGACTCATACACATATAACACACACACACACTCTCTCACATACACACACACACACTCTCTCACACACACACACACACACACACACACTCTCACACAGACTCATACACATATAACACACACACACACTCTCTCACATACACACACACACACTCTCACACACACATATAACACACACACACACTCTCTCACACACACATATAACACACAGACTCTCACACAGACTCTCTCACACACACTCACATACACACACACACTCTCACACACTCACACACATATAACACACACTCACCCTCTCTCACACACATATAACACACACACACAGGAGCCGCTCATCACAGGTGACACACACACACACATATAACACACACACACAGGAGCCGCTCATCACAGGTGACACACACACACATATAACACACACACACACACAGGAGCCGCTCATCACAGGTGACACACACACACATATAACACACACACACACACACGAGCCGCTCATCACCAG